TCTCACTCCGTCACCCAGCCTGGAGTGCAGTGGTGTGACCTCAGCTCACTGCAACCTGCACCTCCCAGGTTCAAACAATTCTCCTGCCCCAGCCTCCCTAGTAGCTGGGATTACAGGTGCCCAACACCATGACTGGCTAGTTTTTGTATTTTTAGTAGAGACTGGGTTTCTCCATGTTGGTCAGGCTGGTCTCTAACTCCTGACCTCAAGTAATCTGCCTGCCTCAGCCTCCCAAAGTGCTGGGATTACAGGCAAGAGCCACCGCGCCCGGCCCCAACTTCAGGGTGGTTTCTAAATGCTTTTCTCTGACATTTAGAAATTTCTTATAAAGCTCAGGGGATGTGACCCACCACAGGTGCTATCAAAATGGCCAAGTCTGATGCTTGTACTCAAACGTCGCTTGCTGCCTCTGGGATGTAAAACCTCTTTCCCGCAGCCCTCCACACCTGATGCAGGTGATACCCATCACAAGATCAAATTGCTGGGTTGACACTACTAAGCCGTGGACCTGCCTGACCTTGTATGACCTTTCTTTCACAAACCTGTCTTTAGCCCCTATGATGCTGAGGGTGCTATGAGGAACAAAGATGAACCTGACAAAGTTACTGCCTTCAGGAAACATACAAGCTAGCACACACATCATCATTATGGTGTTATGTGCCCCCAGCTTGGCCCAGACCAAGCACTAAAGGTGAGCAGAGCCAGGAGCGGATGTCCAGGGAAAGGCTGGGAGGGGACAGCACTAAGGAAAGGGTGGGAAACAGGGTTGAGGTGACGGAGTGCAGTGTGGGTTGGGGTAGGGTGTTCCAGCAGGTGGGGTCTGCAGCAGCACTGCAGAGGCAGCTGAATGAGGGGTGTTCGGGAAAAGTCTCCTGCCTCAGATGCAGGTGCAGAGGAAAATGAGGATCCAAGGGAGGCTGAGGCCAGATCGTAGGGCCTCTGGGGTCAGGTTAGAGCAAGATGGCCACTCTTTAATATTTTTTTTTGGAGGCAGAGTCTCACTGCCACCCAGGATGGAGTATAGTGGCACAATCTAGGCTCACTGCAACCTCTGCCTCCTGAGCTCAAGTGATCCTCCCCCCTCAGCCTCCTGAATAGCTGGGACCACAGGCACATAGCACCATGCCCATCTAATTTTTTGTATTTTGAGTAGAGACAGGGTTTTGTCATGTTGCCCAGGCTGGTCTTGAACTCCTGAGCTCAAGTGATCTATTTGCCTCAGTCTCCCAAAGTGCTGGGATTACAGGCGTGAGCCACTGCGCTTGGCCAAGATGGTCACTTTTAGACCTCTCAAACTCCAAACCAGAGGGCCAACCTGACAGCCAACTGAAAGGCTCCATTTTACACAAAACAAAATGCCAAGAAGTGCAAGTATACATAATTGGGATCATCTTTTCATTGTCAACTTTACAAAGGCAGTTTTGAGTAGGGAGAAGAATCCAATATTCTGAAAAATATGAAATAGATCTACCATAAATGCACACTGGTACCATTCCAAGCCCTCGTGGGCACAAAGCAAACCAGGGAGAGAGGCCTGACTGTGGAAGAGCATCCAGAAGAAGGTGGGGGTTTTTGAGTTACAATTAAAATCGACTTGCACCCTCATGACACTACCACCCCACCCAGACAGGGAGGGAGGAAGCAGTTTAAAGGAGATCTTAGTCTCTTACTAGCAGCAAAGAAGTGGAGACCAGATGTTCATGTGTGATCTTCTTCACAGTGATTTCTACTCAGTTAAAAAAAAAAAAAACCTGTTAGAAATCCGCTGGGTACAGGCTGGCCTGTAATCCCAGCGCTTTGCGAGGCCGGGCGGGCGGATCACAAGGTCAGGAGTTTGAGACCAGTCTGACCAACATGGTGAAACCCCATCTCTACTAAAAACGCAAAAAAATTAGCCGGGCATGGTGGTGCATGCCTGTAATCCCAGCTACTTGGGAGGCTGACACAGGAGAATCCATTGAACTCAGAAGATGGAGGTTGCAGTGACAGAGATCACACCACTGCAATCCAGCCTAGACAAGAGTGAAACTCCGTCTCAAA